GTTTGTCTCTCTGGAATTGCACACTATCAGAGAATAGTGTCCACATCTGTCTTGTTCACAGCTCCATCCTTAGACCTGAGAAGAGCCCCTGCCATATTGTGCTCAATAGGTATCTGCTGGCAAGGACTGACCAACATCTCTCTGAGTCTTAGTTGCCTCACCTGTCAAACACCTACCATGTTGTGAGGATTAAATGGGATAATGTGAAACATTAAACAGTAAGAATTAATCAAAAGTAGTTGCTATTCTTCTTATTATTCTATGGCATTCCATAACGGCCAATAGATTCATCTTCCTAAATCTTGTGGCCATCAACTCCCTTCTCTGTTTGGAAATGTCTGGTTTCCAAAGCCCAATCTGCTTGACATGGACCCCAAATCTCCCAGTGTGATTTCCCTCAGTGTCCCTGCACAAACTATTTTCTTAGAATAAATAAACCCTTACCACACCTTCGGTCATTCCACGCCCCCGCCACATAGAGCGCCGTCCCCATTTTTCCTTTTCTGGCTAAATTGTCTCTATCCATCACCCAATACCATATCCTATGGAAGCAAAGTCCAACCCATGGGAAGCATTTGGGTGGTAATCACAACGTCAGATTTACTTTGTTTTTTGATTCTGAAGCTTGGACCTAGTTGTGGTTTGGAATTCTACAGCACGTCCTATTAAATGCAAAAATCAGGAAAGTTTGTTATCCAAAACCTATTTATAACTCTTGGTGATTATATCTTGAATGAGAGACAGGGAAGAGCTCTCAAATTTTCACCTGAGTATCAGCAAAAAACAGAGAAATGTGTCCTGTGAATACATCCCTTCAGAGTGCACTGGCGGAGGTGATAGATACGATATATCAAGACAGCAGGAGGCCAGGGTAAGTATTCACACGAGAGAGAAGGCTGAGAAGTTTGCCGTGTCACCGACACCTACCCTCCTGCCTGCAGCCTCATGCAGCTTTCTGGCTTCTGTGGTTTTAAACCATTTTGATTAGCACCATGGGGGAAAATCCATCTCTATGTCCCTTCCAGGGTTTATGACTTGGGGGAAACCCTCTTAAAGAGGAATGGTTTCTTAATATCAACTGCTTTCACTTGGGATGCAATTTCAGAGCAATACCAAGCAGTTCTTTGGGCAGAGGGAAAACTTAATAGCCCTCCAGATGGCCCATAGCAGGCACTCTGACTGGCAGCCTGGTGACAAATGGCTAAGGAGGCCAGTGATTTTCTCTCCTACTTTAATATACTGCCACTCAATCCAGCATGGTTTATCTCCATGATTTCCAAATGCATTCAACTGTGCAAACTTTGTTCAATAAAGCATACCAAGAACCCCAACTTAAAAATGTGAAGAGGCCCTGGTTAAAGAGAGCAGGGTGTTGGAGTCCTGTCTGCTCCCATCCCCTCTTCCTCGTCCCCTAGAACTTCAGAGGGACCTCCCCCAAGCCCAATGAGCATAGTTTGAAAATCCCTGGGGCAGTTTTGAAAGACACACACTTTGGAGCCAATTGAAGTCAAATCCTGGACCAACACTTGACTGACCTTCTCTTGATCTTCACTTTCTTTATCTGTAAATTGGATATAATAATACCTACTATAATAATAAATTATAAAGCATAACTTATAATAAGTCATAAATAATGTATGGAAAGTTCCTGGCCCATAGTAGGTGCTTAATAAGTAGCTATTTAGTATATGCCTCAAACAAACAAGCCCCTTTTCTGGGGCTGGGGAGGATTCAAACATGAGCGAGAGATCTCACAAAGCTGAGAGTGTGGTTCCTACCCTGGGACAGGGAGAGAAAGTACTAGAAATGAGGAAACAAAGTGCCACAGGAGGAAACAGGAGGGAACGAACATTTCTAATCCGGAGAGGTGGCTGAGACTGCCAGAGGCGTACCCAGTATCTTTTGTCCACTTCTTCCTTTGTAACAGAATTCCTGATTTCCAGCTGGGATCATGGACACTTAGAATTGAAACCACAATTCCCAGCTTCCCTTGCAGCTAGTGGCCATGTGACTAAATTCTTGCCAATGAGATGTAAGCAGAAGTGGAAATCTCTTTTAGAGATGCTGGCACTGCCCTCTGTTCCCCTTATTCTCCCCACCCCCTTTCCCCATCTTGATGCTGAGAATATGCATGGCTGGCTAGCTCTTTCTGGTATCTGTGGTTCCACTGAGCACCCTGAAGAAGGCACTGGTTAAAAGGAATATTTGGGGCATTAAAGATGCAATGTACACCTGAAATTTACACAATGTTACAAGCCAATATCACCTAAATAAAAAAAAAGAGTTAATGTACCTATGAAGGGTGAATAACTTCATTTTTCTTCAGTGTATCACAAAGGCTCAACAATGAGCTTCAACTGTTACATCCTGCAGCAACCTTACTCCAAGGAGGCTGAGTGGCTGTGTGATTTTGAACATCCCACAGCCCTGTGGCGTCCTGCTGATTGTGAATAACTCAGGGTATCAAGCAAAGTTCTCACTAATATTTCTAATTTGTAAAGACATAATCAATATTCAGGATACAGTTAGTGGTTTGCTTGAAGTGGAAGGCAGCAGGCACTGGTGGGCTCCATTTCTCTGATCTCACCTGAGATCCTGAGAGGCAGAAGTCCTCAGCTAGTGAGGCTCTTCTGGGGTGCAACCAGGGCTCTGACAGAGAGGGCTTTCTCGGAGCTGGTTCCCAGTGAGGGTCTGGGCTTCCCCTCGGGCAGATTACTCAGACAGCTGATCAGGGTCTAATTCTAGGAGAACAAAGGGCTGGGGTGGAGATGAAAATGAAGGAGAGGAGGGTTGCTGAATCTAGGATGGGAGAACATCTCAGGGTTCCACTGGAAGGAGGCAGGAAGGGACTGGGGGAGGAGAGCGACCTTGAGACTCCTTTGAAGGTCCTGGATTCCCCTCATCCAGGGGCACCAGATGGCATGGAATGGGACAGACAGTTCTTCAGTGAGTGATAGAAGTTCTTTCCATCCAAATTGTGCCTTTCTCTTACTGTTTGAAACCTTACACTTAAGACACAGGACCTGAGATTTCACCAACTGGAATGGGAGAGTGAGTAAATGTCTCCTTTTTAAAAAGTAGCAACACTGTTAGGATTATGAGTCAATTCCATCAGTGTGGTGTCCTGTGAGCACCACTGTGAGCAAATGGGAATTGGGTCAAGAAGAAGAGGTGGCAAGAAAGAGACATGTAAAGGGAAGAGGGAGACCAGGATGAGGGTTTTGACAACCAGGGGCAACATGAGGACATTGGGCACTGTGGGGGGTGCAGAGATAACGAATGTTTATTGAACACCTACTGTATGCCAGAAATTACACTAACTCTGGGGATAAACCTAGGAAATAAATGCTGCCTCTCATTCACTTTAAGATGCTGGCTTGCGCCAGATCTTGTTCCCTTCTCTTGTTCTTAGAAATCAGATGGAACAATGTGTCTCCTCTCTGGAAAATGGGCTCTGCCCACTCAAATATTCTGCCTGGCCGACGGCTCTGTGTGACAGTGTTGGGAGTGGTCTGAGGGCACCTCTACACTTGGCAGTAGCCCCCACGGCTGAGGGAATCTGTACCCTACCCCTCAGAACTGCCTGCCCCTCAAGGAGCCCCCGCTCGCCTCTCCATTCTCGGCCAGCAGAGGCTCGTCTGGGATGGGTGAGGCTCTTTGAGGGGAGCCTGTGCAGGATCTTGGATCATACATACTAGCTCATCACTGCAGCTTGTCAGGGCTACTGGTGGAGAGATCTGAGGCTCAGAACAGACACGTGGCTTGCCAAAGAAGACAGCCAGCCCACTGGCAGGCTCTAGAGGGGCAGGATGCAGACTCTCTGACTCCTTGGCCTGGGCCCTCCTTTCTTCAGCAGCTTTTGAGTGCAGAGTTGATGGACTGTGATCTGTTGAGGGGTGTGTTCATGCGACCTGTGACTACTAACACTAATGAGCTCTTACTGTGTCCTAGGCCTTGTACTAAATACACATACAAACTTATCTAATCATCCCAACAAACCTACGAGATCGATGCTATTGTTATTACTCCAATTTTACAGGTGAGGAAACTGAGACACAGAGAAGTTCAGGTTTTCAAAAGGTCACACAGTCAGGAAGTGGCAGATCCAGGATCCCAGCCCAGGCAATCTGGTTCCACGTCCGTGTGATTATCCTCCATGCTCTACAGCCTCTATTAACGAAATATTGAAGCTTGAAAATGATTTTTTGAAAAAACATAAATCAGAATGGATGCCAAGCCATCCCTAGAATGACATCACTTTCACACATTGCATCCCACAAGCAATCTTTAATGGGTGAGACAGAAGTAGCATTACAAGCAGCATTGTGGGAATTTTGCTTAACTCTGGTGCCGCCTATGTATTCGAATCCTGCGAGTGTCACCCCCTCTGCAAAAGAAAACTCTTCACCAACATCTGGTTCTTCTTTTGCCTGGCACAGAGCTGGTCTACACCTCTCAGATTCCCCCAGAGTTAAGTATGGCAAACTGGCCAGCTCTTGCCGATGAAATGGGAGTGGATGTGGTGGGCATCACTTGCAGCTGTAGGGCAGTGCACATGCCTTCTCCACTTGCTCTCTCCCTTTCCACCCACTAGATGAGTGGGGCATGGAGGCTGTAGGGGATAGCAGAGCCACAAAATGGACAGAGCCTGGGTCCCTGAATTGGGACTCACCTACCAACTAGGAACACCCACCTTGACTCTTGAACAAAAAATAAACTCCTGTTGTATTTGAGCCACTGTACGTTTTGGAGTCTACTTATTCCTGCAGCCTAGCCTACTCTAATTCACCATTTCCTTTGCTTATGGTCAAAAGTTGAAGTCAGCTGCCTTCAAGAACAACAAAAATCCATGAAGGGACTTGTGGAAACTTCTAATTTCCCCGTGTTCCCATGTTTTAACAGCCACAGCCCCCCCACTCCACCACCACCACATGCGGTGGTCCCAGGGCAAGGGCAGGGGAGGTTAAGTCATGGGGAAGTCAGCACATGAATTACATTACCACATCGGTTTCCTTCTAGAGAGGTCCCGTTTCTCTTAGGGCTGGAGACTGGGGGCCTCAGCCCAGGTGCTGAGGGGCCTCCAGAGGACATGGGGCTGGTGCGGGGACCACTGGTGTTGGTGGCCAGGCCTCCCCCAAGGTGGCCGTCTCCAGAGTTCTGCCTCTTGCAGTACAGCGAGGAGGAGGTGGGCAACGAGCCTCTGTGGCTAAAGGCGGAGGTGGAGGGGTCCACACTGTAGCGGTTCATGCTCACAGGGTTCACCAGGCACTCGTCAGTGGTGACTGCTTTTGCTAAGCAAGAAGGCAGGGCAGAGAAGCAGAGATCAGAGAACAGTTCAAGAGGCCACCTTGGTGCTCAGTCTTGGCAAACGTTTCCCCAGCAGCACAGGTGCCACTATCTGAGATAATGAGGAGGAATGGACCCCACGGAATAATCCCAAATAGCTCGCTTCTCAGCAGATTGAGACACCTGCCCCACCGACGAAGAATATTATAGTAGGGATTGGGAGATGAGCTCCTCTGTGTTCAGAGGAAAAGTGATTGTCTTGGTTATTGATGACTTGGAAACAAAATTCAAGCAAAGGTCTTTCTCCCTCCATGGCTGTGCCCCTCCGGCAGTCTCTGCCAGCTTGTCTGAATCTCCCTGCTCTCTCTTCTCTTGCCCACCACCACTGCCTCTCTCACCTGGCCCGGGATTCCTGGGAGAGATCCAGCAGGAGTCCCAATGGCCCAGAGTTAGGAGAAACAACTTTGACCCGGGTTGGTGACACAGGTGTGATGGTGCTTCCTCCCCACACTTTTAGTCTCAATACCCATGAGGACACTAACCCTCCAGCAAAGCTAACAAACTGGGGACACAAATGCTGATTGGGACAGTCCCAGGATCCTCCCCAAACCCTGCAGGTGAGAGAGAAAGAGCCAATCTAAACTATAGGGGGAATAGAAGACATATAGAGTCAGCCAACCTCATCATCAGCTCCCTCCTCCAACCCCCACAAGTAAATCAGGCCTTTATACACTTTTAAAGCTCAATCCTACAGCCTATTGAACTCTGCCTGTAAGCTATACCTGTGGCCAAATGGTATGGGGTGTTTGTTTTGTTTTATTTTTAAAGACAAAGTCTAGAGGAATTATGGGGATAGAAAGAAGAGGGAGGGCCGGCTCTGTGGCTTAGCGGTTAAGTGCGCGCGCTCTGATGCTGGCGGCCTGGGTTCAGATCCCGGGCGCACCCCAAGGCACCACTTCTCCGTCCAGCGTGAGGCCGAGTCCCACGTACAGCAACTAGAAGGATGTGAACCTATGACATACAACTATCTGCTGGGGCTTTGGGGGGAAAAAAAAAAAAAAAAAAAAACTTTAAAAAAAAAAAAAAAAAAAAAGAAAGAAGAGGGAAAATATTCTAGTAATTCCTTGTCTTCAGTCCCTCCCACTCCAGACAAGATCATATCTGCCTACCCTCATCAATAATCATCTATATACTAGACATGATCAAAACAGATCTTGACATCCCCAAAGAAGACGTACTAGAGTAACGAAAACCAATAGATCCTCCATGGTTGGCAATAGGAAAACACATTTGGGGCCACAAGATCCAGATATTTTCTTTATGTATGGATTCCTCCCATAATATAGATACTGAAAGATTAAGATTTGATTTTCTTAGAGGAGCTAGCAGGTCTTCTCACAGACGGGGATGCATATGGAGCTTGCCTGGAAATAAAAACCATCGCAAATGGGATATAGCTAAGGCAGTGCTTAGAACAAAATTTATAGCTATAAATACTTACATTTAAAAAGAAGAAAGATCTCAAATTAATAACCTAATCTTGCACTTTAAGACACGGGGGTGAAAAGAGCAAACTAAACTTAAAGCAAGCAAAAGAAAGGAAATACTAAGGGTTAGAGCAGAAATTAATTAAATGGGGACTAAAAAAAAAAAATAGAGAAAATCAGTGAAACCAAAAGCTGGTTCTTTGAAAAGATCAACAAAATTGACAAACTTTTAGCTAGATTGGCCAAGAAAAAAAAGAGACGACTCAAATTATCAGGAAAAAAAAAATAGGATTACTAATGAATACTATGAACAATTATATGCCAATAAATTAGGCAACTTAGAGGAAATGTACAAACTACCAAAACTGACTCAGAAAGAAACAGACAATCTGAGTAGACTTATAACAAGTAAAGAAAATGAATTAATAATCAAAAAAACTACTCAAAAAGAAATCCCAGGGCCAGATTGCTTCATGAGTGAATTCTACCAAGCATTTAAAGAAAAATTAAAATCAATTCTTCAAATTCTTCCAAAAAATAGAAGAGAAGTATTATGGACTGAATTGTGTCCCCCAGAATTCATATGTTGAAGCCCTAACCACCAGTGTGACTATATTTGGAGATACGGTCTATAAAGAGGTAATAGGGCCGGCCTCGTGGCTTAGCGGTTAAGTGCGCGCACTCCGCTACTGGCGGGCTGGGTTCGGATCCTGGGTGCGCACCGACACACCACTTCTCCGGCCATGCTGAGGTGGCGTCCCACATACAGCAACTAGAAGGATGTCCAACTATGACATACAACTATCTACTGGGGCTTTGGGGGGAAAAAAAAAAGGAGGAGGATTGACAATAGATTTTAGCTCAGAGCCGGTCTTCTTCAGCAAAAAGAGGAAGATTAGCATGGATGTTGCCTAAGGGCTGATCTTACTCACAAAAAAAAAAAAAAAAGAGGTAACAAATGTTAAATGAGGGTAGGAAGGTAACCTGATAGGACTTGTTACGAAGATAGTACTGACAAGAAGAGGAAGAGACACAAGAGAGGTTTTGCTCTCTCCACACATACATGCGCAGAGAAGAGGCCATGTGGCTGTCCATAAGCCAGGAAGAGAGGTCTCACCAGAAACCAACCCTGATAGCACCTTGATCTTATACTTCTAGCCTCCAGAACTGTGAGAAAAATTTCTGTTGTTTAAGCCACCTGGCCTGTGGTATTCTGTTATGGTAGCCAAGCAGCCTGATACAAGGAGGAAATACTTCCCAACTCATTCTATGAGGCCACTAGACAAAAACATTGCAAGAATAGAAAACTATACATTAATATCTCTTATGCATATGGATGCAAAAATACTCAACAAAATACTAGCAAACTGAATCCAATAACATATAACATGACTTATACACCATGACCAAGTAGGATTTATCCCAGGAATGCAACTTTGGTTTAATGTTACAAAATCAATTAACGTAATACACCATATTGATAGAATAAAAAACAAAGATGGTGGGGCCGGCCTGGTGGCATAGTAATTAAGTTCACGCGCTCCTCTTCGGCAGCCCAGAGTTCTCAGGTTTGGATCCCAGGCGTGGACCTACACACCGCTTATCAAGCCATGCTGTGGCAGGCACCCCACATGTGAAGTAGAGGAAGATGGGCACGGATGTTAGCCCAGGGACAATCTTTCTCAGCAAAAAGAGGAGGATTGGCAACAGATGTTAGCTCAGGGCTAATCTTCCTCACAAAAAACAAAAACAAAAAAACAAAGATGGCACAATTATCTCAATGGATGAAGAAAAAGCATTGACAAAATCCAACATCTTTTCCTGAAAAAAACACTCAACGCACTAGGAATAGAAGGGAAGTTCCTCAACCTGAGAAAGGGCATCTATGAAACACCTACAGCTAACCTCCTAGTTAGTGGTGCAAGACTGGATGCTTTTCCTCCTAAGATCAGAAGCAAGACAAAGATGGCTTATTCTCACCACTGCTATTAGACATTTTACTGGAAGTTCCAGCCAGGCAAGAAAAAGAAAGAAAAGGCATCTAGATTGGGAAGGAATAAGTAAAATTATCTCTTGTATATAGAAAATCCTAAAGAATCCACTAAGATACTATTGGAACTAATAAATGAGCAGCAAGGTTGCAGGATACAAGATCAATATGCAAATGTTAACTGTATTTCAGATTAAACAATGTGAAAATGAAATTAAGAAAACAATACCATTTACAACAACATTAAAAAGAATAAAATACTGAGGAATAAATTTAACAAAAGAAGTATAAAACTTATATTCTAAAAACTACAAGACATTTTTGAAAGAAATTAAAGATCTAAATAAATGGAAAAAGATCCCATGTTCATAGATCAGAAGACTTAATATTGTTAAGATGGCAATACTCCATAAATTGATCTACAGATTCAAGGTAATTCTTGTCAGAATCTCAGCGGACTTTTTTGTAGAAATCGACAAGCTGATTCTAAAACTCATTCAAGGGACCAAGAATAGCCAAAACAATCATGAAAAAGAAGAACAAAGTAGAGTGTTCACACTTCCCAATTTCAAAGTACTGGCATAAGGGTAGACATATAGATCAATGGAATAGAATTGAGAGTCCAGAGACAAGCCTATGTTTCTATGTTCAACTGACTTTCAACATGGATTCCAAGATCATTCAATGGGGAAGCAATAGTCTTTTCAGGGAGTGGTGCTAGAAAAACTGGATATCCACATGCAAAACAATGAAGTTGGATCTTACCTCACACCATATACAAAAAAAATTAACTCAAAATGGATCAAAGATCTAAATGTAAGAGCAAAAACTTATAAAACTCTTAGAAGGAAACTTAGGGGTAAATCTTCACAACCTTGGGTTTCCCAAGATATTCTTAGATTTGACACCAAAATCACGAGCAACAAAAGAAAAAATAGACAAATTGGACTTTATCAAAATTTAAAACTTTTGTGCTTTGAAAAATACCATCAAGAAAGTGAAAAGATAATCCACAGAATGGGATTTCAAATCATATATCTAATAAAGGACCTGTATCCAGAGTAACTCAACAACAAAAAGTAAACCCAATTTAAAAATGGGCAAAAGACTTAGACCTTCCTCCAAAGAAGATATACAAATGGCCAATAAGCACATGAAAATATGTTCCACATCATTAATCACTGTGAAATGCAAATCAAAACCACCATGAGGTACCACTTCACACTCACTAGGATGGTTATAATCAAAAGGTCAGATAATAACAAGTGTTGGTGATGCTATAGAGAAATTGGAACCCTTATACACTGCTGGTGGGAATGTAAAATGGTGCGACCTCTTTGGACAACAGTCTGGTTCTTCCTCAAATGCTTAAAAGTAGAGTTACCATATGACCCAGCAATTCTACTCCTAGGTATATACCCAAGAGAAATGAAAACATATGTCCACACAAATATTTGTACATGAATGTTTACAGAAGCATTATTCATAGTAGCCAAAATGTGGAAATGACCCAAATGGCTATCAACTG